CTACTGGGGATCAAGCCCACAACCCGGGCATGTGCCCTTGCCCGGAATCAAACCCAGGACCTTTCGGTCCGCGGGCCGACACTGTATCCACTGAGCCAAATTCTCCCTAGTGCAATTTTTTAACAGCTAAATTTGGAGAGGAAGGAAGAGGGAGAGAGAGTTAGAAACACTGATGAGAGAGAAACATCAATCAGCTGCCTCCTGCACACTCCCTACGGGGGATGTGCCTGAAACCAAGGTACATGCCCTTGACTGGAATCGAACCTGGGACCCTTGAGTCCACAGGCCAACGCTCTAACCACTGAGCCAAACCGGTTAGGGCTGTATCTATCTGTTTTCACTTCTTTTCTGGGTCTTAATTCTGCTGTCTTCCCCCTTTTCCTCCATTTTGCCTTGTCTCTTTCCTATTGCCTATATTACTACTTCTATTTCAATCTTTGGCTAAGTATATTAGCTATGTACTGAAATGTATTGAATGTCTATATTCCCTCTTCTAACCTGTAAGATCCAAGAGTGCAGTGCCTATTCTATTCACCCTTGTATCCCTAGAATGTAATACAGGTGCATAAAAGCTAATTTTTTCAAACTAATGGATGATTCTGACACAGGACACACATAAATATCTGATAGGAAATAAATAATCTATATAACCTATACCAGTGATGGTGAACTTATGACATGCGTGTCAGAGGTGACATGCGAACTCATTTTTTTTGGTTGATTTTTCTTTGTTAAATGGCATTTAAATATATAAAATAAATATCAAAAATATAAGTCTTTGTTTTACTATGGTTGCAAATATCAAAAAATTTCTATATGTGACATGGCACCAGAGTTAAGTTAGAGTTTTTCAAAATGCTGACACGCCGAGCTCAAAAGGTTTGCCATCACTGACCTATAGCCTAGGTCATCATGCCTTCACATCATCACAAGATGGCCACATGCACAGTGGAGGCAAGGCCCAACAGCCATTCTGCACAGTGAGGCCTGGAGGTCCTGTGACTCTGCACAGTGTGGAGGAGGCTGGTCCCGGTGTCTCCACCGCCTTGTGCAGAGGAGGCAGGTTCCAGTGGGGGAGGTGGGTTGCCGCAGGGGAGGGCAGTTGTGGGTAATCAGGCTGCCAGGCAAAAGCAGTTAGGGGGTAATCAGGCAGGTAGGCAAGCGGTTAGGAGCCAGCGGTCCCGGATTGTGAGAGGGATGTCCAACTGCCGGTTCGTCCAGCAGTCGGACATCCCCCAATGGGTCCCAGATTGGAGAGGGTGTAGGCTGGGCTGAGAGATACCCTCCTACACCCATGCACAAATTTCATGCACCAGGCCTCTAGTTAAATAAACACATATATGAAGAGCTAGGAATAAAGAAAACGAAATATTGGTATTGTGGGCCTTTGCATGTTTAAACTTTGTATACTATAATGACATATCTTTAAATATATATTTCTTTCATTTTCAAAATTAATTTATTGGGGTTACATTAGTTAACAAAATTATATAGGTTTTGCATATACAATTCTATAATACATCACCTGCATACTGTATTATGTGTTCACCATCCTAAGTCTAGTCTCCTTCTCTCACCATTTATTCCCCCTTTAGCCTCTTCTATCTGCCAGCCCCCTTTCCCTCTGATAATCACCATACATTTGTTTGTGTTTATGAGGGGTTTTTTTTGTGGTTAATCCCTTCACCTATTTTACCCAACCCCCTTGCTCTACTCCACTCTGTCAGTCTGTCCTCTATCAATGAGTCTGTTTCTATTTTGTTTGTTTATAAAAATGAATGCCTTAGAGTAAATTTATGTTCTATTTTTAGATTTGGAGTTCACAGTTCCAAAACATATGTTCAGGAGATTTTTTACTTACCTGCATGAGGATATTTAAGGTGTATTCATTGGTTAAACATCTCATTGTGCCCCAAGCCTACATACCATGGTATCAACGAGACCAATGGCCTCAAAGGCAAAGTCAACACCAACGACTGTCATTTCCTTGACCACTTGCTGGACTGGCTTCTTGAGGTTCCGAGGGTTCAGACAATCAGTGACCCCTAAGGCTCTTGCCCGGGGAAATTTTTCCTCATTGATATCAACTCCGATGATTCTAGAAGCACCAGAGGCTTTGCAGCCCATGACAATGGCTGAGCCTATTCCTCCAAGACCAAAGACCACACAGATGGAACCAGGGGTGACCTACAAATTCACCAGACATGTTTGTATTAGGAATCAAACGTGGACACGTGTAATTAAGAAAACAAACAAACAAAAACAACCATTGAGACTTTTGGAATATCAGTTGAAACATTGGTCTAGTTTTAATGTTTTCTAGGCAAATCACCATGACACATACTATTCCACAAGGGTCTTCCTCACCTTGGCTGAGTGAACAGCAGCCCAATAGCCTGTAGGTACCTCACAGCTTATGAGACAAATTTTATCCATAGGAGCAGCATCATCAATTTTTGCAACGGAAAACTCAGGCACAACAGTGTATTCAGAGAAGGTGCTTGTGCGGATCCACAGGACTGAGAATGAGGTCTTTTTTCCTTTGCAGGTAAATCTGCTCGTCCCATCCATCATTAATCCAGAAGCAGGTAGAAAACTAATCCACAGTGACACAGACACAGGCACAGGTACCAGCACGGACATGGAGTTGTAAAGAGAAAAGTGAACATCTTTAGCTACAGGTCAATGCTTGCACAATATAAACAATTTAGTAAAAGAGTGAGGGTTTAATCTACTAACTCTTGTTTCTCACAGAAGTTTCCCTTGAGGTGCAAGCAGGAATTGCATTCTCTACACTGTGGAAGAACGAGTGTGAGGACTTTATCTCCTATATATAGGGGGAAAAAAGTGATCATTAGTTGAAATTATTATTGGAACAGAAATACAATAATGTTTTTATAAAGATTTCATTGGATGACTTGAAAACTTTGAGTGGACAGATTACAGCAGCCAGTATAACATTTCCCATGGTTGTTTGGCAGAAGAAACCATATAACCTGGTTTCAGAAATGCCATTATTCTTTTGGGCAAATAATGAAAATTTGGGGATATCCCCTGTTTGATAGAGATTGTAAGTTGGCTTGCCTCTATTCTGAAAATAGAATAATGAAATCAGGACTGAATCTTAGTGATATCATCTAGATTAATCCCTTTGAAAGATTTAAGTTCCACAGTAGTTGTCACCTGCCTAAAGTGGCCTGGCTAGATAACAGCAGAACTCTCTTTACTGAGTCTCACTGCCCCACATTCATGCTATTCATGTATAGTTCATCAACTATAATGCTATTGCAATCACATATATAAAATAAAATGCCCCTGATTATTATATCCACTCTCACTATTCTATTTTTATTAGGAGGCCTCCTCATAGTCTCCCCACACTGACCCATAGCAAACAGACCTCTGACATGTTTTCTCAGTGAGGCTAAATTCCAAGACATGGTAACTTCAGAGAATAAAAGTAATTCCTCTTCCTGCTTCTGGAGCACTTTCTATGGAGGGTGGCTTTTAACCGTTTGCTGCTGATGTATTTTTTTCAGACATATGCCAAAACTGCGGCACTAATTGCGCATGTATGGGAAAAAATGTAAAACACTTTTTATACAATAAACTCACTTGTATTGCTTTGCAACAACAAAAATTTAAAAATACCAATTGTTTACATAAATTTGTTTTAAATAAGAAGAGCGCGATAGCGCTCCTTAGCAGTCAAACGGTTAAGTTGCAGAGTTGTGGGAAGAATATTGATTACATTTGGATCCAGTTGCTAGCTAGCCTTATTGGACCCTAGGGGGACAGACTAAGTGTAGGGTCAGGGAAGAAAATCAACATGATCATCACAACTTACAAAGGCCTCGGCAGAGATCTACAATATTGTTCCTATACTAGTCCTTACAAACTTTTACAACGCAGAAACTATTCCCCTTCGGCCTCTTGCAGAGCTTAGTTGGCATTAAAAAATCTCTTGTAGGTTTAGATAGGGCACATCGTACCTTCACTGACCCAAAGGTACTGGATCTCAAATTCAGAAGTTCTGCTATCGTCCTTTCTCTTCAAGTGCTCATCATTTTCAGTAAAACTTGCACTGGAATTTTTCTAGCTGAAGAGTAGCTACAGTAAATATCCCTCCTATTTGCATTATGTTCTTGGAGATGTAAAGGCCATGAGTTTCTACTTTTGTCCCTCTTACTATAACTAGTGTCATATGTAGGGTAGACATCCATACTTGCTTGTCAAATGAATACCTTGATGGCAGGTTGTGAATGTTCTGACCATGCATTTTCCTAGCTCTCTCTGTGTGTGTGGCTACAGGCTGTGAGTGTTTCTAGTATCTTAATCCATGTGACTGCTTTTATTCACTCGGATCATTTCAGACATGCTCAGAATAGGTATGCCAAGGTCCCTTTTGATTAGTCTTGGAAAGAGCGTATACTTGCTTTCTTTGATTCTTTGAAATAGCACTACGAGATTTTCAATCTATTTAGAAATCCACTGGTCCTATCTCAACTTTCATTTGGCTATGAATATATACTTGGCCCAACCACAGGGAAACTGTGTGACTCTTGGAATAACTAGATACATTTAATATCATGATATATGATTAGTTAGAAGAATCTAGAGGTAAACCAAGTTATTTCTTCTAAAAATAGGTTAATGCATTATAAGTTTCTTCACTGTGTAAGGATAGCTCTTTGGAAAGTTGTTCATGGAAAGGCTTTTATGGCCCATTACCCACCTGGTTTCACTGAGCTCACTCCTGTGCCAATACTCTCCACAATACCAGCTCCTTCATGGCCTGGGATTAAAGGGAAATGCATGGGGAGCAATCCTTTCAGTACATGATCATCAGAACCACAGATCCCTGTAGATGTGAGCTGCATAGGAATTAAGTGACAAAAGATCAATTGGTTTGGATTTTTTTCCTCTTTCTTTTATATGAGGATGATTATCAAAATTTTTACATGAATTATCTCTTTGATATTTATAACAACTCTCAGAGGAACACAGGGCAGGCCTTATTATCCCAAACCTAGGAAAGGGGGATTCAAAGACTTGGAATGACTTGCCCAAAGTCACATGGCACATGTTTCAGACCTGGAAATAAACTGAGGTTTTTTGAAATCTACTTTGTGCAGCCCATGTCATAAAACAGTTTTGAAATATAAGGGGCAATTACAATGAAGGACTTTTTGACAATGTATCAATAGCACCATCGTTGAGGCGAAAAACTGAAAGCTTTTCCTTTAAGATCAGAAACAAGACAAAGATGCCCACCCTTGTCACTATTGTTCAACATAGTAGTAGAAGTCCTAGCCTGAGTAATCATGCAAGAGAAAGAAATAAAAGGTACCCAAATTTGAAAAAAAAAATTGAAACTGTCACTATTTGCAGATGACATGATTATATACACTGAGGGCCAGATTATTATGACCGCCTGACATTGTAGGCAAATTAGCTATAATTTCGCACTGAAGTTGCTAGAGGGCCAGAACATTATAAATAGGGAAGCAAGTTGTTTACCACGACAGTAGAAGTGATTTTTTTCTGAAGATATAGGTAAACAACGCGATTTAACAACCTTAGAAAGTGGGAGATGTGTGTGTGTGTGTGTGTGTATATATATATGTGTGTGTGTGTGTGTGGCATGTATGTATGGGTGTATATGCATGTGGTGTGTCTGTGTCTGGTGTGTGTATGTGTGGATATGCATGAGGTGTGTATGTGTGCTGTGTATATGTGTGTGGTCTGTATGTGTTTGTGTGGTATATGTTTGGTGTGTGTGTGTGTGTGTGTGTGGTGTGTGCATATGTGTGTATTTGTGTGCGATGTGCCTGGTGTGTGTAATAGACTACCAGGAAAAAACCTTAGCACTGCCCCCACCAGCTTGAAGGGTTGTACTCATGCATGTGGGGTGCATGCTTTCATGCTGTTTCCACCAAATTCTCACTCTGCCATCTGCATGATGCAACTGGAAGCGTGATTCATCAGACCATATGACTTTTTTCCAATGCTTGACTGTGCAATCCTTGTGTTCCTGTGCAAATTGGAGATGCTTTATCTTAGTAACTGCAGGCAGAAAAGATGTTCAAACAGGCCTTCGGCTTCCATATCCCAGACAATGCAGTGTACGGCTATTTTGCCTACAAATGTCAGGTGGTTATAATAATCTGGCCACTCATGTTCAAATATATCCCACATTCAAAGGCTATTAAATCGCGTTGTTTACCCATATCTTCAGAAAAAAAATCACTTCTACTGTTGTGGTAAACAACCTGCTTCCCTATTTATAATGTTCTGGCCCTCTAGCAACTTCAGCACAAAATTATAGCTAATTTGCCTACAATGTCAGGTGGTCATAATAATCGGGACACTGGGTTGCCTTCTGTATGTGGCCTGATCAGGGATCAAACCCACAAACTTTTGGTGCACAGAATGACAGTCAACCAACTGAGCCACTCCGGCCAGGCCTCAACTTTGATTTTATCCAGGATTCAAAGTGATATTACTCAGGTCCCTGCTGTGTAACTTTCACAGTGGTAAGCTCTTCTGGAGTTATTATTTAAGGTACAGCCTCTGTAGTTAAGGAGCATATTAATGTAAGAACAGAAAACATTGGCTAATTACTAAATATTTCATTGATGATGATCTAGTACACAATAATTAAAGATTAATTTAATGCCCTTTGTATAAATGAATAGATGATGTAACTTCTCAATAGTGGTAAGTTACCAAACACCTTCCTTTGTGTACATTCTTATCACCTTTCTTTTTTCTTTTCAACCTCTCTCATTGGTGAAAGAAAGTCTTTACCATAACAACAGACAGTTGATAATTTATTTAGTGTTAGTTCTCATATTTTTCTGTTTTGTCTTTCATTGCCCACCTATCTTTTTCTACTTTCCTCCTTCCCTCCATCTCTCTTTCCTTCTGGCATCCTTCTAATTCCCTTCCTCCCTTTTCTGTGTTACTCTTTGAACCATCCTTCTATACCTTCTACTTTGATTAGTTATGGACTAGAAACACATAGCTTTAAGTGTTTGTTGCATTCATTGAATCAAGTATTGAATTTCCTGGTCTTAAATTAGAAGATAGGTGACTTTAATATTTAATAAGATTTTAAGCAAAAGTACTTTTAATCTTGCGTATTTAATGATTTCATAAAATTTGAGATATACTGATTGAGAGGTTGATTTGAGAGCGGTGAGGGGCTTTTGACAAATCAATGTTTTCCAGTCCTTGGTCTAAGCTCTGTTCAACAATTTTTAACACTTTCAAATGACTTTGAATACAATCACAGAGTCCAGATGCTCATTCTTAGAAATTGAAATTTACACATGGTGCACTTTTTCAGAGAAATTCTGACATTTTTATAACATCTGAGCACAACACAATTGAGATATAAAGTAAATCTGTCACTAAATATTCATTTGTATCATAGAAATATGGGGAAATGCATTCATTGTCCTTTCCCCCAGAATGAAAAGTAAGTAACACTTAAAACACATTCTAGATCACATCGTCAAGTATACTGGTCTATGATATTATATAATTTAAGTAAAAAATTTAATACTAAGTAATACTATAATAAAAGTAATTACATTGGCTGAGTGAACTGCCAATATTTTATTGTTATTAAGAATATCTCAAGCATTCATTAACTGCATTCATTTATCTTAATTTTTAAATCTTCTTTTACTCAATGAACAGATTAAAACTACAAATTATGTAGTTAAACACTAAGACAGGGTTTCGTGCATTTAACTTCTAAGGTAAAGATTAGAAGTCTTAGATTTACCTTAATACGAACTTCCCCAGCCTTTGGAGGCTCCACCTGAACTTCCTCAATTGCAAGAGGAGAATTTGTTTTCCAGGCAATGGCCGCCCGGCATATAATTGTCTGTTGACACAGGACAATAAAAGGACATCATTAGCAATAACATTTAGCTTATATTCTGATCACACAAATGGCACCAACGTGTTAAAATTTGTAAAAATAATAAAGACACAGGAAAGAGATCATTGAAATTTCAGGATCAAGCTGTTGAAATTTTAGCATATATTCTTATAGTCTCTTATAGTATTTTTATGTAGTTGAGATCATGATGTCATATAAGCATTTTTTTTCTGCTTTAATGCTAATAACAGCCATCAGGTATTGAACATTTACCCTTTACTTGTTCATAAGCATTTTCTCATCACTTTAAAATGCTTTGAAATCATAATTGGAAGTGGCTACTTTTATTTCATCATTTGAATGTGTCCTAATTTGCTTAATCAGTAATTACCAAGACAGGTAGTTATTTACATTGTTTTGAGTATCATAAAGAATATTGTGAACAACGTTGTTTATAATTTTGACTTGCTTGACTTTCTTTTTTAAAAAATATATTTTTATTGATTTCAGAGAGGAAGGGAGAAGGGAGAGAGAGATAGAATCATTAATCCGCTGCCTCCTGCACACCCCCTTACTGGGGATCGAGCCCGCAAACCGGCATGTGCCCTTGACTGGAATCGAACCTGGGACCTTTCAGTCTGCAGGCCGACGCTCTATCCACTGAGCCAAACCGGCTAGGACTTGCCTGACTTTCTTAAGTCAGAATTACTTTGGAAAGGATAGAGAAATTGTTAGGACTAAATTGATTTCCAAATCTCTTTACAGGAAGGTTGAGATATATGGCACCATTTATAGAAATATAAAAGAATATCTATATCATCATTGATTTCACTCTCCTTAGCATTGACTATAAGTCATTAAAAATATAATATTAGACAGGCAGAAAGAGCTAGTTATTTCATTTAATTAGTGTATTTTGAATGTTAGTGATGTTCAATGTTCTTTATATTTATATTAATTGCACATATTATTCTCTATTGTTGGAGTGTTTAGTCAAATAGTTTACGTAAGTATCTACTGACATCTTGCTGTGTTTTTTTTTTTAATCATTTGACCTCATTAAAGCAGTCACCTGTTGTTTGTCAACTTGTCACATTATTTTCCCCTGCTGATTTCTGACCTGTAATTTTTTATGAAGGTATATGCATGCACACACATAAACACACATTTTTAAATTTTGGTTTATAAAAGTATCTTTTTCTTTGTGTTTTTTTTATTCCATCTCTATATTTTGAAAATTCTTAGAGACCAAATAAATATTTATTATTTTTTTCTAGATTTTTATAGTTTGATTTTAAAGTATTTCCTTTAAATTCAACTGAAAATTATTTCATTGTGTGAAGTTATGGAACCTAAATGAATTGTTCCAGGATGAACTCTTGTTTCTTTTGTTTCTGCTTAAATTAGAGGGGAAAAGGGGGGACATCTGTAATACTTTCAACGATATAAATAAATTAAAAATAAAAAACTCAGATGATTTTAAACCAAAGATAGCTCAACAACAACAAAAGAAACATGAAACTACACCATTTTTAACATTGTAAGTTAAATACATCCCTCCCATGGTGGAGACCAAAGAGAAATATTAATGTGTATTGGTAGATATTACAGTTACAAATACAATATATAAAAAATTAGTAACTTTACTGTATGTGTTTACATTTACAAGTTTCTTTTTGGAAACTGCTTCTATTCTGTTTATCTTTCTCTCTATTCTTACACCAGCACCTCAATTCTTTGAATACTTAAACTTTTTGATGCATCTTAATACCAAACACTAGTACCCTTCATGATTTCATGTATACTCTATTTGTAAGTTTACTACCCGACTAATTGTAACATATACTGAACTGGATAAATCTGTTATGTCTTTAGGAATTTAGATACTAAAGAAGAGATAAGAAATGCCTTATAATACAGAGAAAAGGGACAAATGCCACAAAAATTTTTAAATAAAATGTTATAGAAAATATTACTTTTTTTCTGGGGATAGAATTATTCTGCTTTCACTTTTCAAACTCAAGTGAAACTATAGACTTCATGAAAAAACTTTCCTAATTTCAAAAATGATACACACTCAAGGAAAAACAACTAGAAAATACTTCCAATCAAGGTAGCAGAGTAGGTAAATGCTGGCTCACCTCCTCCCAAGGTCACATCAAAATTACAACTGAATTCTAGAACGGCCACTCTTGAGAACCACTGGATTAGTTGGACAGAACATCTATAACTAAGACTATAAAGTTGAGACTGTTGGACGGGCAGGGATGTGACAGGTGTTGGTCCCAACCCACGGTTAAGAATAGGGAAGAAATCTGTACTGTAAAGGACTGCCCTCCACCTCTCCAACGTACACACCCAAGAAGTGTAGACGTTGAGAAAAAAGATTCCTACAACAAGGGCTAACTAGGCTCAAATTAAAACTAACAAAACAAAACAGAGCCCAGCAGTCATGTCTCCACAAGGGCCCCTCATGCAAACTGCACTTCAGAAAGAAGCTTGCTCTGAACTGCTTGCCTCTGCACTGAACTGCCTGCCTGCACTGTGTTTCTGCCATCTGAACCAGCCCTTATAAATGAGTTCCTGGAATCCTATCTCAACCAATAGGACTAAAGTTTCCTCTATCCAATCAGAGCTGTGCAGCTATATCCCCCCTTCAGTTTTTTCACTGACTAATTAGAGTGGCTCCATTTTGACCAATCACGACAGTGTCTTTTGGACCAATCAAACTTCGAGGATTGGGAGTCCTCATTTGCATTAGGACAAACCAATCAGGAATCAGGGGTGGGGACTTCTGCCTATATAAGTCAGTTCCCTTCTAGCTATGAGAGAGCACTTCCCTTTCCACTGAAGGCTGAAGAATGTGTATCCACTGGAGCAGACCAGCACAAGCAGAGCAGAGCAGAGCAGAACTGTTTAGCCAATGAGGGGCCTTGCCCCAGGACCACCTCTCCCAGGCCCTCTTAAAAGCCATGTTATTTCACAGCTGTGCTGTGTCACAATTGAGATGTTTGGATTGCATAAAGTTTTCTTCTTCACTGCACCCCAAACTGGGGAATCCTGTTGAATTGATTCCATAACCATCAGTTGACAGAAGCAAGAGGTCCCAGCTCCACACCAGGCTCCCAGCTCAGCACCAGTGACAGGGAGAGGAATCCCCACCATGTCTGGCTGTGAAAGTCAGTGGAATTCTATCCGGGCAAGAAAGAGGGATGCTGTACATCCACGGGGCTCGAGTACAGACTCACTGGCTCACAAAGAGTTGCCCTAAGCCCCAGAAATGGGACAGACACTTAGAAAGTACCAGGGACATATGAAGGAAGAGGAACTGTCTGGCTTCAGGATGAGAATGGGAGGGGCCGCCCTCTCTGGGAAGGAAGTGCTGGCAGGCACTATTGTTTCTCTGTTGAACTCTCCTCACACACAGCTATAGGCACTGAATCTGAGTAGTCATTAACCTGGCTGACACTGCTTTAGCCCCATCCTGCTGATTCCCTGAGACCCTCCCCTACCCATCTTGTGCAACTTGCATAGAATAGTCACTTTTTCAGTGACCGTTCTATATAAGCAGTCAACTTGACCCATGCTGCAGACTTTTCTAAAACGTCTCAAAGATCCACAAACCTCAAACAAGCAGCAGCTGGCCTTGGCATGCCCTGTACCTCTTGCTAAATGGCTCTGAGCCTGGCATTCATGGCAGCCAACCTCAGTTCACAGCATAACCACTCCCAGGTGCTTCCAAGTCCAGGAAAGGCAATGATCAACTGTAGATCACTTTGTAGCTCCAGGCACAGGTAGCAGCTAATTGTGGCCTATACTGAAGGCCCTTTCAAGAGGCTCCAGAACCAACACACCTGGTAGCTGGCTTCAGACCACACCAGAGAACCACCCAATTAGCACCACAAATGACACACCCGAAGGGTAGGCTTGGCAGGCAGAGTCCCACTAAAATAAGTTCTGCTTTAGGGAGTCAGCCCCCTACCAAAAGCTCATGTGCTGTAGCCAGTCCTCACAGCCAGCCAGCTGGAGGGTCAGTCTCCACCCACTGATATGCCAACAGCGATCCAGTCTCAACTACAAAAGGAGCGCACACACTATTCACACAGGGGCCACCGCTGGAGTACTCACAAGCTATCTACCAATAAGATCACTTTACAAAGACTGGAGACACATAGCAGATCTACCTAATACATAGAAACAAACACAGGGATACAGCTGAAATGAGGACATAGAGAAACACATCCTTAATAAAGAACAGTGCAAAACCCCAGGAAAAGAGCTAAATAAAATGGAGACAAACAATCAACCAGATATAGAGTTCAAAGTATTAGTTATTCTGAGGAAGGAAATAAACACAGAATTCCAGGAAGCACGGAGTCTCAAACAAGATGAACCCAAGACACATCATAACTAAAATGCCAAAGTAAAGACAAAGAGATATTTCATGCAAAGGAAACAAAATAAAAAGCTGGTAGCGATACTTAACGTCAGACAAAATATTATACAAAATAGACTTTAAAACAAAGGCTATAACAAGAGACAAAAGGGCATTTCATAATGGAAAAGGAATCAACCCAAGAACAGGATGTAACTCTTGTAAACATTTATGCACCCAATGTAGGCGAATCTAAATGTCTAAAGCAAATATTGGAACTGATATAATATTGAATGTCAACCATAATTGAAAAATTAAATTTAAAATAATTGGAAAACTCAGACAAGGGTAAAGAGGGAAAAACTGCAAGTTTGGTATCAGCTATTACCGTCTTTAACATTTTAGGGTAAGTCTTTTCAATCAACATCCTATGTATGTGTATGTTTGTATAGTCATACTGAGAATGCTGATCTACAGTCTACTCTCTCAGTTAACATTATGAATACTTTGCAGGTAATTTAAAATAACCACTTCAGACTTTATTGACTAATATATCATAATTTACTTAGTTTCCTGGTATTTGACCGATGTTGCTTCCAGTGTTTTACTCTTAAAAATAATGAAGCAGTTAACTTGTTTAATAAAACTACATAATTATTTCTGTGGAATAAAATTCTGAATCAAATGATAATTACATTTTCATGGTATTTGATACAATATTATCAAACTATCACTCAAGAATTTTCTAGCAATTTATTTTCCCTGCAGTGGCGGATGAATTTCCACAGGTGGGAAAACATTGGTTATTGTCATTCAATTCTTTAGCAATCTGACTGGAGAAAACAAAGTTTTAACTTTGTTTCAATATGCAGTTTTGGGATAAGTAATCAAGATGATATGGATCTATTTTAAAGGTAGCACTTACTTTGCCCAAGGTGTCCATGATGAATTTTCTGGTTTTCTTAGTGTCTTCTAGGGTATACCAGAGAGAACTTCACTTGTGGACTCTGCTCTTGTGCAAACAGGGCCAAGTACTTATAGTCTTTATACACTGAAACTCATTAAAAATCATTACACAATATGCGGGAACCAGAGAGGTGAAGTGATTGGCAAACGTGTGAAAGTAAAGGACAGAAGGAAATGTAAAGGAATCATTATGGAGGGGTTTGAGAGGGAGGATGCTAAATGAGGAGAGAAGTAGTTTGAAGGTAGCAATGGTGACTTAAAAGAAAGCATGACAGATATGAACAACCAAATAAGGTCAAGGGCAGAAATGCAACTGGGAGCAGAAACTCAAATCAATTAAACTTCAGTAGGATTTTGCCTCTCTCTTATGTGAGTCAGTACAGCACAGTGGTTAAAAGCATGGATACTAGCACTAACAGACCTGCATTCAAGTCTTTGTTTTGTCTTTTACCTGCTATGAAAGAAGGCAAGAAATCCATCCTCGCTGTTATTCAGTTCCCCCCTCAGTCAGGTGAGGGTGATTATAGTAGTTCCTACCTCATAGGTTTGTTATAAGCACTAAGAGAGTTAACATCTGATAAATGTTTAGAACTGTGTCCAGCCCATAGCATGGCATGACTATTTGTTTTCCGTTATTACTATGATGTCTCTCAGTACACTGATTTCATTTTCTTACCACCAGCTTGCTTTTGCCAAATACGAGAAATATGGTCACAAAAAGACCATTTGATTCTTAAATCTAACAACTGCAACAAGACAGTTCAGGAGGTCTGTCTCTTATCTTAAGTAAAAAATGTAAGGAAGGCTCTCCTTGCTCATCTTCGATCAGGTGCTCACTCCTGGACCAATGACATCTAGCCAGTTGTGGGTTTGGGGTAGAATTTGGCAGCTACTGCCACAGCCAAGTTGATTCTCCTGAGCAGCTGAAGGTGGGTGGGGAAAATCACAGGGCAGGTGGATTCCATTGTAAATTCTTGTTCACCAAGATCAAATGAAGTCTCAACATTGCTTGACAATCCAACATTGTCCTAGCCAAGCCGCTGTGCAATTTCCTGAAATAACTGGAAGTCTTTCAACACTCATGTCAAATATCTGACTATCCCCCCATCCTCCTCCATTCCCCTTTCACTCAGGAGATAAACTTACAATACAGATAATTCATCCAGTAGCTCCATATCCAATTCATTAACAAGTTCTGCCAGCTCTGCCTCCAATATATTTCTCAAATTTGTTAGTGTTTAATGTCTAAATCCCTCCACTAGAATGTAATTTTTTTTAGAATAATGTTCTTGAATTTCTTGTTATATTTCTCTACTGAAAGTGTCTGGAAAAGTGTCTAATACATAGTAAGAGCTCAATCAGTATACATTAAATGAATTAAATGGAAGTTATCAGATAGGATCTCCCTTAGGTGCTAATTACTAGTCATGTATCTGCATCCATACTTATATTATCCTTCTTCCTCATCACCTATCTCTGCTTAGGAAATTCAGTGTTAATTTTTTCTCCTCTCCATGTGACCTGTCAACTCTTTAACGTATCATCCCTTCACTAAAAAGAAAAACAGAAACAAACTTCTCAAAGCTCCTTTGAGAGTCAAAATGGATATTGATGTGGCACTTTTAATTGAGGGTTAAGAGTTCTGAGCCAAATATTACTAATTAAGGCTTTGGTTGACTGGCCTTGATAAATTATAATTGTTCTGAAGAAAATGGGACTTTGCAATTCAACTAATCTGTGGGTTGACTTTCAAGTTTAAATAATTAGAACTTGCCAAGGTATAATTTGACAGTAGTTTTTTCTTTGTAGCTTTGGGGAGTTTCTAGAGTGATTCAGGAGGTGTATGGTAGGACTACAAAGTCAGCAATAAATCAAGGTCATAGATTTTTAAGAAAAGACCTATTATACTTGTCTCCTTTTCCTCACCCCCCTCTTACTCCTTCACATGTGCAACTAGGTTTTGTACCCCCAGCACATCAAACAGCTGTATCTAATGTTATCAGCAGTCTCCTTTTCTGTAAAGCCAATGGCCATCTTTTTCAGCGTTCATTCTGACAGTTCATTACTATTGATTGCCCCCTTATTGAAACTCACTCTTCTTTTGACTCCTTGGCTTCACACTCTCCTAGTTTTTCTTCCATTATATGTAGCTGTTCCTTTTCTGACTTCTAAAAATAATCTTTATCACCTTTTTCTTGGCCATTAAGACTTCCCACCCAGGTTCCTGACTTTGGCAGAGCAGACTTGCTGAAGTTGAGAATTCAGACTCCTCTGGAGTTCCTGTAGCCCTGTGAGTAAGTCTTAGGCATGATTGATTCTCAGTTATGGTCTGCCTCCAACTTCAGGAGTTTAGGAATAAAATGTCTAGGTTGGAACTGTTCTTTTGTACTTTGTCCTCTTCCTAAACCATCATATTCAGTGTGGATAACTTTTAGACAAGATACTTATCATGCCCCTCACCCAGGCTGCCCAGGCACCCCAGTGGGACCCCCATCCTGATCCGGGACACCCTTCAGGGCAAACCAGCCAGCCCCCACCCATGCCCCAGGCCTCTATTCTATATAATAAAAGGGTAATATTCAAACTGTCCCTAACAGCAGAACCACTGGGAATGACTAGTCCCTATGACACACACTGACCACGCGGGAGCA